CAACCAAACAAACAAACAATATATATATCTGGAAGGGAGAGATTGCTATGGAAAGCTGAGTGTGGGGATAGAGTAGTCTGGGCAGAATTATTAGAGGAGGTGGAATCTCAACAGGAGTGTCAATGACAGGGACTTTTTACAGCCAAGGACCAGCCTTAGTATGAGAACTTGTGTGCTAAAGATATAGCAGAAAAACTAAGTACAAAACATTTGAGAGAACAGACCAATTTGCTGGGAATGAGAGGTGTGGGAAAGGAAGGAAGGAGGAGAAGATAGGTGGGTGAATTTAGAATCAAATTCTGGAGGAGTCAAGACTGTGGAATAGAAGAAACGTGATTCTGAGAAAAGAGATTAGGCTTTGGAATTGTACCACAATTTGCTCTTGGCCCCACTGTTTACTGGTTGTGTGGCCTTTGTTAAATCACCTGACCACTTTAAGTTTGTTTTTGATATCTCTCGAATAAAAATAATGTGCATAACTTGAAGTGCATATTTTTGAGAAGATTAATTAAAACACACACAGAATGCCTTTCAAAATGGTAAGCACCTAATAAAGGCACCTGTTAATTGATTGTTATACTGGCAGAAAGTGTTAAAAGCTTTTTTTTTTAATAGGAAAGTGGCATTTCCACATCATCTGATGGTATTATAATTGAATCATCAAAATTTATAGAGTGATAAAAATTCAGGAAATGAACCAAGAAGTCTGTTAGACATTGTCAATGCCTGGAATCACTGTCTTCTTGGTTGGCTGGGAGGCAGAAGAAGGCAATGGAAATATTTCAAATCCTATGCAGGGACTTTGCAGGTTCCTTTTAATTCCCTTTCAAATATAGTTTTATAAATCTGCTTTCAAACAACCAACACTTTCCCTATAGAATTGTTTGGTATATTTGCAGGATTAGGTCACGCTCTCCTCCCTAAAAACCAAGATCCAGAGGGCTTTCTGAATCAGTTTATACATTGGATTTTGTATGGCCAAATCTGAAATTCCTCTTTGCCACTACAGTGTGTGGAAGAGATTCTGATTCTTTGCATGGTACATTTTTTGTCCTGTTAAAATTGTGGAGGAGATTTGTCATTCTCACATTCTTATTAGCCAGAGGTCCACAGAGGAAACCCTGGAGTTCTGCAGAATGTTCTGGATTTCCACACCAACTTCACTGGTGACTCCTCCTTTTCAGCCACAAACCAACCACTGTTGATGACCTCTAGGTCTTCACGTGACATTTAATTTCTTTTCAAAATACTTATGGATTGTAGAATTTCCCATTTCTGCCCTAATTGTCTTAACTTTTGCCTTTTTAGGAAAGAAGTTTGGGAAGTTGCTGCATTTATATCCCCCAAATGAAAACATCAAATCTCCTAGTTGCCTCCCTATCAATAAAGTGAATTGTCATACATAACAATAATCTTTTTGTGGGAATAAGACAGAAAATTTGACAGTTGTCCTCATGGTTACTGCAGAAAATAGAGACAAAAATGGTCTTGATTAAATGAGGTTTGTCCTTTGGGTCTAAAGGAACAGAAAATGGTAATTTAATTTCTACAGATGAATTTTGGTGAGAAGTGTGTCTTGAATTTAAAGTGATTTATTTACATATCTGACTCTAAGCAAACCTCAAAAGAATGTTTTAAAAATGATCTTTGCTTCAGATTTTCTGTTAGAAATCAGAATTAGCATTTCTTTTCTTCTTTAGAAAAGAGTGTTCTCAACAACAGGGGACAATAGATCTTCATGGTCATCGCCAGCCCCCAGTTTCAGAATGTGAGAGTTTAGCCTCATCCCCTGGCTTCATTACTTCCTCTTACATGATCTTTGGCAAGTTACATAACTTGTTGGAAAATGCTCCCTGCCCCATGAAAATGCTATGAGGATTAAAAAGTTAGCAAATTGATTTCTGACTTCTGTTAATATTTAATAGATAGTTGCAAATCATTAATCTGTGTATCAACTAAAAAAAAGAGTCAATTATAGAAATGATATTTTAAAAGATATCAGAGGGAAGTGGAAGTAAAGACTAGATAAACTCATATTCCCCAAAGGGAAGAGCTCCTCTCAGGTGAGCTGATTCTTTTCTTTCCTAGGAGACTTGCTGAGGTTGAGTATGTATTACAGATGAGGCAGGTTGTAGGCAAAGAAGGGAAAACCTGTGGAGTTTTAGAATAACACATGACCACATATGCTGGTTTAAAATCTAGAGAAGTTCTAAATGTACAGTTTATCTGATAGGTTGTTTGCTGAATGCTGAGATGAGAGGTATGAGAAGCTGAGCACTATGCTGGAAAGGCAGAATGAAGTATTCTAGTTTCTCAGTGCTCAGGAGAAAAAATTTCCCTACAGGGAATTTACTAGGATAGACACAATAAATCGGCTAAAGCTCAAACAAAATTATTCTCTTAAATAACACAGTACTTAAATTGTTTTTTAGGAAAAGCCTTTAGAATGCACTTAAGGACCATTTCCAAGGATGACTTTCCAAGGATGGACCTGTATAGAAACATCCAGATCATCTGCTCAATGACATTTTGACATGATAACCTCAAAGTCCCACATGCAGAACATGATGACTGCCCCCCAAAAGAAACATAGGACACGTGAAGAAACTACCTCTGTACAAAAGAGCCCTAAAATTTCCCCTTCTCATTATCTAATCAAAAAATAATTCTCTTTCTTCCTGCAAATTTCTGGGATACCATTCATGGGGAAGCAGATTAGCTTGCAGCTTCTGACCTCCTTGCAGGTTAACTGTGCACTAAAGCTCTTCACTTTTGCAAAACCTGGTGCCATATTAGTGGCTTCTATGCATGTGGGGCAGCAAGTGCTTGATCGGTATCAGTAAGATAGATTGCACCCTTGAAACATGAAAACAGAGATTAAATGAATTTGTGTACAGTTGTTATTCAATCCTATGGTTATCTCAATAGATGCCAAAAAGTTGATAAAATTAAATGCATACATATAATTTTTGGCAAACAACAGAAGTAGAAAACTTTAATGTGGTAAATGTTTACAGAATAAACACTCAAGGGTAGCAGAACGCCCTCCCCCAGACATGCCACTTTGGCATAAGGATGATTTTTGAGTCAAAAGAAGCAGTCATAAGAAAAACTATTTGTCTCTCCTTATGTTCCTAAATTTATAAGGGTGTCTCTCCTCCCTTTTCTACCAATCATTGAATGGATATGACTTGAGAGCCTTACCAGTCTGGAGATGGCAGCAGAGAAATCTAAATAGTTAATTTTACCAACTAGTCTTTGTCTACCATTAGGACCCTGTATAATTGCCTTCCCACATTTTACTATCCCTAAAGACTCAAGGGTCTTTTCTTTGCCTTGTCATGTCCCTTAAAATTTATTGTTCCTTGTCGAAGGTGGTATGTAAGTTGAAGTTCTAGGCCATGTCTGTGAGAATCACTCATTCCTTGGGTTTCTTCCATGTATGTAGGAGACTTACATATTCATAAATTTGGTTGTTTTTCTCTTGTTAATCTGTCTTTTGTTACAGGGCCCCAGCTGAAAGCTTAGAAAGGCAGAAGGAAAATTATTTTTCATTCCCCTGTACAGCCATGGCTAGCATCATACTTAATGGTGAAAATACTTAAGCATCACACAGAAAAATTATGTGCAAGGTTTACCTACAGAATTCCAAAAAATATTACTGAAATTAAAGAGACCAAAATAAATGAAGAAATATACAATGTAAAATTATTATAAGAAAATATTGATAAGGTATTGATTCTCACTAAACCAATTTTAATAAGATTTAAAAATCTTATCAAAATCTCATCAGGGTTTATATGTATATAATTTGACAATGATTTTAAAGTTCATGTGGAAAAGCTAAGGACCTAAAAGAGCAAAGGCAATATAAGTGGAACAAAGTTGGTGGACAAACCCTATCAAATTTAAAGACTTAAAATAAACTAATTAAGACAGTGAAGTGTTGACACAGGTTGTGCACATGGACAAAAGAAACAAGATAGAAACAGAACCATACATAGATGGTCACTTGGTTTATAGCAAAGAGGTTACTGTAACTAATCAATAAAAATGGCCTTTTCCATAATGGTTTTTCATCTGGCTATCTTCGGAAAAAATAAACTTTGAACCTACTTCATTCTATATATGAATAGAAAACAACCCAAAATGTATGGGTAAAGCAAAAGCAAAATAAATAAATAAATAAATAAATAAATAAAATCAATAGATGCCTCAATATCATTAATCAGCAAGGAAATAAAAATTATAGTTTGGAAATACCACCATGCCCATAAGAATGGCTAGAATTAGCAAGATTGACATTGTCAAGTTATAGCAAAGAAATAGGACATCTGGAATTTTCAGATATTGCAATTGGTATTATAAATTGGCACAATCACTTTGAAAATCTGCCTAGTAGTATCTGCTAAAACAAAAACTTACCTTATGACCCAGGAATTCCACTTTTATTTACACCCTCAAAAGAAAAGGTTATAGATTCTATCAAATGTTTATAATAGCTTTATTCATAATAGCTGAAGATTGAAAGCCACCCAAATGTCCACCCACAGGAGAAGGGATAAATAAATTGTTTTATATTCAGGCAATGAAGTGTTAGGTAACAATAAAAGAGTGACCCTCCAATATATGGAATGTTATGAATGAATCTCATGGACATTATTTTGAGTGAAAGAGGCCATGCACAAAACAGTACTTACTGTATGATTCTATTCATATGTGGTCCAAGAATAGGCAATACAAACTGATGCTGCAAGGGAGTAGGATAGTGGTTACATTTGGGGGATGATTGATATTGTCTGGGAAGGGACATAAAGACATCTCTGGAAGTCAGAACTGTTCCCAATCTCAACCTAGATTATGGCTATGGTAATCCATACTGAGCACAGGGATGCTCTGTGCCCTGTCTATATGTAGCAAACCAGAGACATGCTTTTTTTTAAGGACATAGGGAAGTCCAGGTAGGGTTTTAGGTAGGAAGGAGTCAAGAGCAGACTTACATTTTAAGAAATGACCCTAGGAGGTCCAGTAGGTGAAGCTCTTGCCAGTGATCCAGTTGAAGAAGGCTTGAGCCAGGAAAGGAGCAAGGAGCTGGAGAGCAGCACTCTGATTGTAACCAAGTGGGGAGGTACAGGGGAAGACCTGGGGATGGCAGAGGGCTCGATGGGGAAAAGGCAATAATATTTCAGGACTTGCCTCCATGTCAAAACTATTAGGAAAGGAATGTCGTTCCCAATATTGGAGGAGACCAGCACCTGCAAGGTGGACTTTGGCTTTTGTTGGATTTCCCCTCCGAATTTCAGGTTTTATTTCTTTGCTCCTCACTTCATCCCAGAAGGAGCCCTCTGCTCTGAGAAGTCTTTCAATGTGGGATGAGCTCGGGCATTTCAGTTTGCTGAACCCTTTTGTGAACGGAGTTGGTGGTCGCTGGAAGAAGAGAGAATACTTCGTGGAGTGCATCCAGTCTTCTAAGATTTCTTCCTCCCTCTATTTGGTCAAATAGTTTTTTTTCCCCCAGTTCCTGAGGAAGTAACAAGGACAGAGTAATTTAACATCTATTATCTACAATGCTTTTGGAGGGATGACATAATCAGAGGATTCCTCTTCCCAGGAATTTGGATCTTGTCCTCTGACATATCTTGGTTTGGAGTTGGTGAAAGAGCTTATGGAATAGATAGCGCCCCTCGCCGTAGGGTGGAGAGAGAGAGAGATGATTATAATCAATTGGGTCCGAATCTAGAGGAATAAGAAGTTTGCAGACTATCTGTCTGCAGATTCGAAACAGATCCTTTCCCTAGGAACTATTCCAAACACCTAGCTTTGAATCAGAAGGGGATTTAGAAGCAAAGAGCTGCCCGCAGCGAATACCTTTAATGCCCTGGTTAGGATCTGATCCTGCTGAACAGAGAACCCAGGAGCCTCCCGCCCTGGGTGTTCGTGGGGCGGGGGCGCGCTGCGCGCTGCGCCTGGGCGGGTGGCAGCGGCGGCGGCGTGGGCGCGGTGATGCAGGTGTGACACCGGCCGAAGCCTCCCTCCACCAGGATCGCCCCAGCGCCGCTTCAGCCGGAGCTGCGGGCTGGGTTGCCAAGGCGGACGCTGCCTCACACGCACCCGGAGGCGACCGTCGGCGGATTTCCCACCCAGGTAGGGGACTGCGTTGCTTAGCTGCAGTGCGTGTAGACCCAGCCGCGGCTCGGACTCGCGCTCTGGGGCTCCGGCGCTAGCCTGCCTGGGCTGAAGCACCCATGCCGGTACCACGGAGTGTTGTTTATAGTTAATGGCACAGAAAGCAAAACGAGTCTTGGAAAGCGCGCAGAAAAGCAAGGGCTTGCCGGCTGCTCCAGGCTGCGCGCTTCTTGAAGGTGGGGCCTCCCCAAGGGCTGTTTGTTAAACCTTGCGAACTGTTAGCGTCATAAATAGTTTTGCAACTTATGCTACTGACATTTATAGCCCGTTTCCGTAGGCTTCCTAGCCACGTCTTTTAGTTTAAATTCTATTCTTGTGTTAGATGGATTTTGTTGTTGGTTTGTTCTTAAAGAATAGATTAAAAACATGCTTATACCTGATGGCTCTGGGTTGGGGTTTGTGTGTATTTCCGTAGGTGGAGGGCGCCCTCCGTGGGCTTGGAAGCCTTTTCTTGTTTCTGGATGGGTTTTAGTGCAAGGAAAAGAACACGATTTGTTTTGCAGGGATGGGTGAGCAAATGTGTTTAGCTAGGGAAGAGAGAGGTACTGCTATTTCTTCCGTGGACGGGTCCCGGGTTCAGCAGGGCTGAGGAAACACTATCATTTATCCAGAAATCGCTTATGCAAACCAGCTCTGTTTCAAGGTAACTTAATGTCCTGTGTCTTAGGCTTTGATAATAGCAGCATGGGTGAGGTGAGATGGGGCGCTGGGTATGCTTGCTTGTTTTCTAAGCCACTCAATGAGTGGTGGATGGGGGGGGGGGACTAGAGGTGTGTGTACATGGAATTATTAGGCATTGTAGCCTGCTGAGCTGTGGCTCTGGTTTACCTTAGTCTCTTCTATGTTTTTTTTTTTTTTTTTTTGCTTCCTTTTCCAGAAGAAGTAACTTGTCCTGTTTGCTCTAGTCTGCAGTAGATGCAGTGAGGTTCATTCTGCATCTTTCCTGAGTCAGCAAATACTCCTGAGCACCTGGTATGGGTCAGAGATGGGATTAATCCCTAAGGATGCAGAGATGATGAAAACCAAGTCCGGGACCCCACAAGCTCTCACCTGGAGAAACACCTGTAGTAACAAAGTGTGACAGGTTCAGAGACAGTGAAAGGTGTGAAAATCTTGTGGGTGGTTGCAGAGAGGAGAAGGGAATAATTTTAAAGATGGAGTCAATATGAATTTCAGCAGAGACTGGGTCCTTCTCTTGATCCCTTGGTCTGTGAATGACCCATATCCCTCTCTGACCCCACCACTCTCACTGTCACTGGGTAGGCAGAGTTTTACAAGCCCCCAGCAATGCTTGCAGTTTTTGCAGTATGTGACTAGACCACAGTAGGCACAGGCTGGCACCAAGGGAGGAACACACCCAATGCAGGTCAGCCTTTTCATTCTTTTTAACAGATGGTTTTCCTAAGTTCCAGGACTATGAAGGCTTAAAGAAGCACATCACAAAGGCAGGGACTCTGGAAAATTCTTAGATTGTTTTAGAACAGATGCACTTCTGTCTCTTCCTCCTGGGCCTCTGACTCATTCTGGTCCCAGCTTGTTTCTAAAGGAAAACTCTGACCCCCATCTCCCTAAATGAGTGGCCTAAAGGAAAGCTAAAGCCATGACTACAATTCTGCACTGGGAGAGGAGAATCCAACCTTGAGGTTGTTTCTTTCTGGACAAAAGCTGCCGTGGGTGATGAAAATGATAGAATGAAGAACTCCTGGGTGAGGCAGTTTTTCTAGAGATGCCTGTTAAATGCACTCTGTAACCTAAACCATCATCTAGGTATTTGAAAAGCAGGCTGGCACACTGCAACGAGCCTGGACTCTGATGCTCAGTCGAAGCTGGTGAGTGTCTTGAGCAAGTTACGTAGTCTTTCTTTGAACTTTGGTTTCCTGATCTGTAATGGAGACCACAGGGTTGCTAGGCTAATTATATAAAAGATACCTAAAGTATTTGTTCATTGCTAAAAAATTGTCATATATAAATTGCCTGGTGCAGAGTGGGTGCTCAAAAATGGCAGTTCACTTGTCGAGTTCCTAACCTGTGTCAGTCACTGCTCCATGTGGGAGGAATACGAACTGAACAAAATAAAGCCCCTACTCTCAAGGAGTGTAAGTGTGTGTGTGTGTGTGTGTGTGTGTGTGTGTGAGATAATGGACAAGTAAATATAGCATATTAGCTGATGAGACATTGTAATGGAGAGACATAAAGCACAGTGAGAAGAATGCAGAATGCTACTGCAGGACAGAGTGGGGCTTGTTGTTGTTGTTGTTATTATTATTTTTGACCAGGGAATGCTTTGCTGGCAAGTGATATTTGACCAGACCAGAGGGAAATGAGAGAAGAAGCACCTGTAAAAGCTTGAGGCAGGAGAGAGACATGTTCATAAAGAACCAGAAAGGAGGCCAAGCAGGCTGAGTGGAGTGAGTGAGAGGTCAACTGCTGGAGTTGAGGTCAAAGGGGTAACATGACAGATCACTGAGCTATTATTGCCTCTTCTGATTCATGTTCGGCACTAAAATGTATGGGCTGAGTTCTGGTTTAAGGAATTGGCTGATATCTTAAACTCTGTGTTTAGAAGAAGGTGGGTTACCAAATATAGGTACCTGTGGTCACTCAAAGCTTAAACTAATGCAGCAAGCAGAAGACATGAGTGTTCACGAGGAAATGGAAATTAGGGAGACAGAGTGACACAGGGTTCAGATTTCTTTCATCCAGAGTGAGGACAGTATTTGTGCTTCTTTTCTTTTCCCCTATGAAAGAAAGAGTCACCTTTAGTGACAGTCCAGCAGTATCGTCCTTGCTAGTTATTATTCTTTTTTCTTTGAGAATGAGAAGAGTTTCTATGGTTATAGAAAAGTGTTGGGATCCTCTAGAAATATAATGGGCTTCAGTGTATCATGGAATACATTTATGTAATACCATGTGATGAATTTATTTGGTGCTTCTATTTTATGGGCTTAATATAAAGATCACAATGTGCAGCCCTGCCCCTTTGAGACTTTGTTCCTCTAGAGAAAGCACCATTTTGGGATTTGAGAGCTCTATTGCACAGCTGCCTTGGTGCAGTAGGACTACTGCAGTGTGTTGCATGGACAGAAATAGGGCTGATGCCTGAGAACCTTGTCAAAGTTTCTGTGACATAGGATGTGGTAAGGCTGGGTCAAGGTCAGGGTGTCCGGCTGGGTATCCGCCAACTCACCTCAGAGGGTGTGCTTCCCTCATCCAATGTCTGCCTTTTAGTTTTGCTGCCTCAGAAACCCAATATGTCTCTCGGGACTACATCACAGTGACTTTGTTAGCCTGTATGACAGTCTATTGATTTGCAGTGACTGTGACACTGTGTGGCCTGGCTAGTGTGTCTTGTTCCTGCAGACTCCCTGTCATGAGACCCAAACCACAAGGGAAATGTTCCCCTATGCATGTTTATTCAGAGCAGAGCAGCTTAGATGCCCATCCTAGGGAATGATCACACACATTAGGGCTGATCTTACCATAGGACTGTGGAAAAAGCCACCCGCAAACTTAGTGGCCTAAAACAAAAATCATTTAATATTCTCCCATGGCTATGGTTGGCTGGACAGTTCTGCAGATCCGACTTGTGCTTGGTTGCTCTCAGCTGGGCTCACCCTGGTGATTTGGTCTGCTGAGGGAGGTTGGTCTGAGCTGGATGGTTTGCTCTGCTTTGTGTGGGTCCTTCATTCTCCCACAGGCTAACCCAGCGTGTTTGCATGGTAATGACAGAGGACCAAGAGAGAGAAGTTTACATGTTCTCTTGTTTTTACCATTGAAAGTAAAACATGAGGCAGCTCGAGTGAGGTTAAAGAAACAGACCCTGCATCTTGCTGGGAGAGGCTACACAGTCACACGGCACAGAGCATGGGTTCAGGAAGGGGAAGCATTTGGAATATTTTTGCATCTACCATAAGGATCTTAAAAGTCCCCTCGGATAAGTTGTTTTTTCTCTTTGACTTTGCTTGAATGGGTAAAGCCTGTTCTTGACTGGTGACTCCCTGTTTCCTGTGTTTCCATGGCTGCCCATCTATAGATATATGTGGGTCATTCATTTACCAAATAGTGACTGAGTGTTCTCTATGTGCCAGAATGTGATAGGCAGGGAAACAGCAGTTTTCAAAAAGCCATGAAGCATTCGTTTTAGTTACAGAGACAAGTAATGTGTAACAAAATAAGTAAATATGTGATATATAAGGTGCTTAAGGAGCATCAGTCAGGGAAAAGAGAAAGGGGAGAGTGCCTGGTTGATCAGGAGCGGAAGTCAGGGACAGAAAGGGCTGGGTATAAGAGGTGGTTGGGGAGACGAAGAAATGAAAGTGTGAGCCAGATGGATATCTGGGGAAAGAACTTTCCAGATATGGAGAACAAGAATGCAAAGGCTCTGAGTCCTTTGAGTATTTGTGTGTTCCAGGAATGGCAAGGAGGCTCCTGCAGAAGGAAGTGAATGAGACTGGGTCAGCACAGTAGAAGATGAGCCCAGAAACGGAGCAGCCTTGGATAGACTTTGGCTTTTACTTTGAATGAGATGGGAAGCCACTGAAAAATTCTGAGCCGGTTAGCTGTTACCTGATACATGTTTTATAATGATCGCTTGAGCTTTAGAGCTTAGGATAGACTCTGGGGGTCCGGCATGAGAGGACACAGGGAGATCAGCCAGGTGAGAAATGATGGTGATCTGGACCAGGTGGGATCATGGTTGAGATAGTGAGATATGGCCGAATTCTGGATAGATTTGATGGTAGAGT